AACATCATATACTCATCCATCTATTACTATGATTAATCCAATTTGAATTTCTTATATGACAGTATAATATTTCGAAAACATTATACACTATACTTTTTGTAGGTATACTTTATGGAAAGTGAAAATTGAGACAACAAAATAACAATAAAAATTGCTTACGATATTTTAGGTCCAAAAATTTCCTTCAAAGTAATTGCATTTAATATTTCAAGAATTGATATTTGATATACAAATACTTTAGTCATAAAACTACTTGTCGGTCCATATTTCAAACGATTAAATGTTGATCAATTTTTGCATGACAATGATTTTAATTTTCAAGAGAAATGTACAGTAAAGTGTTTAAGAAGTAGGCCTTGTGTTTAACTATATTTTTTCAGACGCATGTACTTACTTTTACATTTAGATGTCATATTTTAGAAAACAAAATAAATAAAAATATAATATTTTATAATATAAATTAAATTTTTTATTACAAATGCATAACAGATCAACACGGTATTTTGCTTGTCTCACAAATTTTTTTATTTTATTTATTAGCAAACTTAAAAAGTGCATGCAGATTATCTTGTATATTTTTGCGTTGTATAAAAGTTTGTAAAGGACAATCATGCACTTGAGCGTGATAGATTATTATTTAATTTCAATACGTTAGTGCCGCAGCCTCTTTCAAGGGCCAGATTACCTGCCCCTGATATTGGCCTTTCGGCTCACTTTGGGTTACTTTTCCAAGTTTTGTGGCAGCGACAAAACTTTTCCAACGAAGATTCCTCTTTTTTTTTTTTCATTTTTTTTTGTTTTTTTTGGAAAACAATAGAATTTCAATATAAGAAAAAAGCACATATTTATAAATTATCTAGAGAACAGCTAAACAGCTGAATAAGCCAGCTACTCAGCTAAATTTAGTTAGGAGGACTAACCCCATAGGCAGATAGCCCGAGTTAGCCTAGAATCAACCTAAACGCAACCCACTAGGAGAACAACATAACACTACAACGACAAAAAGCTACCAACGAGAGAATAACACAACTCCCAATAAGAGAATAACACAACTCCCAGAAGGAGAAAACAAACAACACCCATAAGCAGAAAGACACACAAACTAACAGAAGAAAAACACCAAACACACAAAATAACACTACAACGAACTGAAAACTAAACTACAACTAACTAAAACCCTTGAAACTGAAAAGGCTCCGCTCCCAAACACTCTGATAAATCCAACACCTCATGTAATCCTCCCGGAAAGAAATAGACCCTCGGTTCAAACACCGATCTAGAAACTGCCTAATGCCTAACTAGAACCAGACCAAAAAGGATCCAAATCATCCCAAAGAGGCTACCACAGAAACAATACAGAAGACTTGTACCTCGGTTCCCCAAAACTAATTGGCAACGACCACCAAAAAAAGATCGTAGCAACCCCCGTCGACAGTTCCCATACACCCAACACCATAGCAAAATACAGGAGATAGGGAACCAAAGCACAAGTCAAAGAAAATCAGCGACCCACCGCAATCGGTCATCAAAATTCGCCGCACTAAGCGGCCCGGCAACCTGACGACCCCCCAATCCGCCATGGCCATATGTTAACTGAGGAAATCCAGGCGGGAGAGTACCGCAGTATCCCCTCGCTATTCACAACGGCAACGTAACCGGTCCGAGGCACCGAATACCAACCAGATGAAGAGAACCGAAGCTCAAGGCACCGAACACAAACTAGATAAAGAGAACCGAAGCTCAATCACCAACTCCTAGCCCACCCTAGGTGAATCGTACTATTGCCTCTCCCACCGCAAGACCCGACGGACGAAGCCCGAGAGCCACATATGCCAGCCAGACCCCAATTCCCACCCCTGAAATCAAGAGTCCAGGGAGCGCCACAGTCACGACCAACAAACCGGCCACCGGCAAGAGCACCGGTGCCAGACCCACTCCTCACCAACACCCGATACCACCAACATGGCCTGGCGACCAAAGCACTATGTTTGTAGTATTTTTGGGGATTGTTGATTACTAAGTAATCAACTCGGGTCGTTCTCAAAGGAAGGCTATTCGGAGCTTTGTTCGCTAATTGATTGTCCAAAACACAAAAAACGAGAAAATAAAGGCCTAAACATTCTAACCAATGAGCATGAGATTGAATTAACACTAAGCTAGACTAGGAATTACGAGCAATTGAAAGCAACGATCAAACGAGAGAATATGGAAATTAGAACTACCGTAGTCTCTATGCCATCGAAACAAAATGCAAACAACAAAGAGAAATATGCCAACCCTAAGCCCTAGGTAATTAATACTAGCCTTCTAACCCAAAGTGATTAAGCTGTTGGGATCACTATACCGTACGGGGTGAAACACAACGGAAATTAAACGAAATAAACAAGCATTTATCGAATAAATACTAACTCCCCAGCTCTCGTAGCAATTGTAACGATCAACATCTTTTAAAATCACGTAATAATACAAAATTTGATTTGTAAGGAATTTCGAAAATTACAAAATTTGATTTGTAAGGAATTTAAAAAATTACCTTGAATTTTCTTTGTATAGCAACGATGAAGAGGGAATCAGTTCCCGGGTATGTGGCTATCACCGTCTTCTCATCTCGCCGTAGGGATCCATGTGTCTAACTCTAAGCAACTCCACCCTTTGGGTTCCGACTCTGGGATGACTTTCTTTGCTAGTAGAAATCTCCCGATATTCAATTGGTATAAAGAATCAAAAAGAGAGGATTTTTTTTTCTTTTCTCCTCTGCGCAACACTTGCGGGAAGAGAAAAAACATGTGGTAGATTTTTAATCTTAGAGAGAGAAAAAAGAAAAAAAGGAAAAAAAACCTTAGAGAGAGAAGAGGGGATCAGAATAAATGGGAAGAAAACCTAGAGAGGGCAAAAGGGAAAGAAAACCCTAAGGAGGAAAGAAGAAGAGGGCTAAACGACAGAGAGAAATAGATCGATACTGAATCCTAACCAGAGGAACAAGACCAAACACTAGTTAGAGAGAGAAATTTCCAAAGCGGAAAACGACGTCACAGCTAGAGCTCTTAAAAGGGCTAGCCCTAGCGAGGTTCGAGATAAACGGTCCGGGCTAAAAAGCCCGAATTTAAACGGGCTACCAATAAAGGGACCTAACCCTAATCCTAGCGGGCTTCGGGCTAAATGGACTATACGGGCTATAATTATTGTGCGGGGTATAGACAGAACGGACATAAAATTATATATAGTAAAAGTCTATTCGGGTTCGCATGGGTGAATATGAGGGAACGAGCCGAAAACAGATCGAATGGAACGGCGAACAAGCGGATTATGGGTAGCGTTTCGACTAGAGCTATTCATGACCAAGATTTTCCCCTACTATGTGTATTAAATGCAACAGAATTTGGTAATCATCCATCTAAGGATGTTTAGCGGGCAAGGACGCGTGTCGCAACCCGATTGAATCTCTTGTATTGGGATGAAATTATGTAGTATAAAGGCATTAAATGTGGTATGACAAAAATATCAACGAATATCTTGTAATAGAAAAGGAAAAATAAAAATCCCAAAGTGGTTGTAACAAGTCCTCACATTTCCTATAAAATGAAGAAGAAGCAACATTAAATGCAACGAGTAAATGTTTTCATTAATACTATAACAGTCACGGATAGATCCATCATTCGTTTCGAATCCCATATAAAATTCTATTCGTGCAGACCGAACCGATATACATTTTATTATACAGTTCGAACACATTGTTGGTCATATTTTAGACATCAATAATAATAATAATAATAATAATAATAATAATAATAATAATAATAATAATAAAAAGAATATTTTTTTTTTAAAAAAAATAACAACGACTAGTTATTGATTGTTTTCAACGGCAATTTAGTAATGTCGCTTTATATATACAACTACACATAAATAACATATTTTTTCTCAAAAGAAAAAAAATATTCCAACTATTACTTACAATTACCATTTACTACTTATTTTGTACGCTTTGGGAATTTTCATTATAAATTCTATCATTATGTTTCATGTGTTTCCTGTTAGTCGTTCTGATTGACTTAAATTTTTTGGTGTGAAGTACAATAACAATATTGTTAAATTATCTTTCAAAATCATAATAATCCATTACAACTCATACTTACATGTGAAGTGGAATAGCGAAATTGTAATATACAAGGAATCTAAGAGCATATTGCTTACTTGATGCAAATATTTACACGACCCAACCCTAGTTAAACGGGTTAGTCCTAGTGAGTTTCGGGCTAAACGGTTCGGTCCTAAAAAACCCGCATGATTTAAACGGGCTACTAATAAAGGACACTAACCTGTTTTTTTCCGGGCTAAACAGGTTGTCCCGTCGGGTCAATGATCATTTAACATCTCTAGTCATGCTTTTTGTTTTTTGGATTTAGATTATACACATGCGATTCAAATTGACAAAATGCAAATTAATTTAAGGAAAGCCCTAAATGATTAGTGGTAAGTCAGAGTTTTTTCGATTTAGATTATACACATGTGATTCATATTGACAAAATGCAAACTAAAACTTAAGGGATGCCGTAAATGATTAGTGGTAAATCAGATTTAATTGCAAAATGAGATTTGTCGTGTTTTAGATTATTCCGTAGTAAATCTATACGAATATGATTCAAATTGACAAAATGCAAACTATTTAATGGGTGCCCTCATATTTAATTGCAAATAGAGATTTGTCGTATTCCGAATGAGAAAATCGTACAACAGAGAGAAATAGTTATAATCTTAAAAATAATTAATATCAAACCCACTTGGTGAAAAAATATTGCCTTTTTGCTTTCCCGTAGCACTTGGAGTGCTGTTGCGTGTTGCCAGCAGGAAACCAAAATCACATTTTTTCAATAAAATCTAATAATAAGAAATATAATATTTCAACTTGGCATTTTTTTACTCCCATTAAAAAAAATAGAAAATCACACTAGATTTAGGACTCCGCCTATAAATAACCTGGAGCCAACTGCATCTCCTTCGCACATCAGACGCAAGAGCGAGCGAAGAGAGATATAGAGAGAGAAACAGAGCGGGCGAAGAGAGAGAGAGAGAGCTGACAATGGGCGGTTGGGCAATAGCGGTGCACGGCGGCGCTGGTGTGGATCCGAACCTCCCCACAGAGCGTCAGGAAGAAGCCAAGCAACTCCTCACTCGCTGCCTCAACATCGGCATCTCCGCCCTTCAATCCTCCCTCTCTGCCATTGACGTCGTCGAGCTCGTCGTATGATTTCACTCCACCATTTTTTTCTTCGCTCATTCAATTCTCCATTATAATTTCTTTCCGGTCTAGAACGCGTATCATTATCCAAAAGCGAGAGAAATCCCCTTTTCGCTTCCAAACTAAACCTCGATTTTTTTTTTCTCCTGCATTGCGTAATTTTGGCAATTTTTTTTTTAATTTCAGTCGAAGCATTTCTAGCGTTCATTAAATTTGTTTCCCTCTGTGTGAAAAAGGTACGCGAATTGGAAACCGATCCCCTGTTCAATTCGGGACGCGGATCTGCACTGACCGAGAAAGGAACGGTGGAGATGGAGGCGAGCATCATGGATGGCTGCGGCCGGCGTTGCGGCGCCGTTTCCGGCATCACCACCGTGAAAAACCCTATCTCCCTCGCCCGTCTCGTCATGGACAAATCCCCTCATTCCTACCTAGCTTTCTCTGGCGCCGAAGAATTTGCGAAAAAACAGGTCCCTCTCTCTCACACACACCGCTCAACAGTTAATTTCTTTTCAATTAGAATATAAAATATTGGGTCAGTCAGTCATGCTCTCATGATTTTTTTTTTTACAGGGTGTAGAGATGGTTGACAACGATTACTTCATCACCGAGGACAACGTCGGCATGCTGAAATTGGCCAAAGAAGCCAACTCCATTCTCGTAAGCAACAATGTCGAGATAATAATTATCTGAGTCTAAAATGATAATAAGTTGTGATGTACAATTTTTTGTGTGCAACAGTTTGACTACAGAATCCCACTGGAATCCTGCGCGTCTGTGGTTGAGAAGCCTATTAAGATGAACGGGCTCCCAATCAGCGTGTATGCGCCGGAGACAGTGGGCTGCGTGGTGGTGGACAGCCAAGGACGGTGTGCAGCCGCCACCTCGACAGGCGGATTAATGAACAAGATGATGGGCAGGATAGGAGACTCGCCTCTTATAGGGTCTGGCACGTACGCAGGCAACTTGTGTGGGGTTTCGTGCACTGGGGAAGGTGAGGCCATTATCCGTGGGACCCTTGCACGTGACGTGGCGGCCGTGATGGAGTACAAAGGGCTCGGGCTTCAAGAGGCGGTGGATTACGTGATTAAGAGTCGTTTGGATGACGGGGGAAAGGCAGGCATGATTGCGGTGTCGAATAAGGGTGAGGTGGCCTATGGGTTTAATTCGGTGGGGATGTTTAGGGGCTGTGCTACTGAGGATGGGTTCATGGAGGTTGGTATTTGGGACTAGGTTTGTTTGGTTGTCCTTTTTTCGTTGATATCCTATTAATTAAATAGGAAAGGGATGTGCTCGTGCAAGCATCTTTGTTTATTGGTGTGCTGATGGTTAACACTGTGTTGTGTTAACTTTGTGTTTAGTGCAATAATAAATTTTATTATTGGTGTGCTGGTGGTTAACACTTAACACTGTGTTGTGTTAACTTTGTGTTTATACTTTATTGCAACAATAAATTTTATTATTAGTGTTTAGTATTCTCTCTCTTTTCTTCTTTCTTTGATTGGGCTTGTGTATTAATCACATCAATACACTAATTACACCCTAAATAACATATCATTGTTTATGTAATCGAGTTGACTAAGATGAGCGTCAACAGTACTCATAATCACTCTTACTCTAATGCATATAATTTCACCAAAAGAAAATAATTTTTTATATGCATATTTATCAAAATATTTTCTTTAATTTACCAAATTTATCTACTACATTATATATATTTTTTCTTTTATAAAGCAAATATATATTTGCTTAAGTGGCCATCACACCGCTCTCGGGTGAGCGAAATTTAAAGAGTGCAACTCGAATCGTAAAAATTAAGAGGTCACGCTTAACTGTGCTTTGAAAGATCTTTCATTAAATACAAAAATTTCATTACTTGTTTTTATTAGACAATAGTAAAGTTTATTAAAGAAAAGCAGTTTATTATTTACTTTTAGACTGTAGTGTAGCGTACGTGAGAGGCACGTGATTGGTATCTTCACAAAAAAAAAATGCTGAAAACAATGGAAATCTCTTTCATTGGCTAATTCCAAGAATCTTCACCAGATTCATTGCCCCCACCAAACTTTATGATTTGACCCGACTATGCTGCCCACTTACTTTGGTTCGTTGGCTGTGATTTAAAGAGATTCCATTGATTCCACACCAAATTTACATGTTTTCTCGCTTTTGTCCCCGTTTCCCAATTAGATTCTTGTTAATTTGGTATCTATCACTTTGGGATGGTGCTAACATACAAAAACTAAAAAAAAAAAAATTAAATTACCTTTGTCCCCATTTTCTCGCTTTTGTCCCATTTTCATTTTCTCTCTTGTAGTACAATCTATTTTCACCAATCACTTTTTTATATTTAAAGTAACTCTAATTTAATTTTATTATAATATCTTCAATATTATCAGTATAATTAAATAATATCAATCAATCATCTTTACACACGTCATGTTAATTTTAGTTAACTACTTATCCAATGACATAATTTTAAATCTATATAACTTCCAATCACGTACATATATATCCCATACTTTGATATCAAATCAATTTTAATATAAATTTAAAATCTCACCCAAATTTAATCTAACTATTTTTTTGTTAAAAAAATATTAAATATGTTTAATCAGACAAACCAACCAAAACGAAATATCTAATTAAAAAATTATATCCAATCACTCTTTTGGGTTTCCTAATTGGATTTTGCCCTCCTGCAAATGAGAGGATCTATAACAAACCCTCCACAATGTTTTATGTTTAATTCATGCCCATTTTACTGGTAGATATTTGTATTGTATAATTAAGTGGAGTTTTATCAGACTAACAAGTTACATTTTATTCACTTGATGCCTGTATTAAATTTTTGATAGCGATTGAAAATATTTTCAACTACTTGCTTCATTTTGCAGCTATATGAGATTTAAAAGTCTTGCCAAATACCCAATTCCAGTTATATCGTGTTGACATGCAATCGATTTTTAAGTATTTCGTGGAAATTAATGGTGAATTTGAAATCAATTCTGGTGGTATTTAAATTTTCAGCAGTATTTATTATTTATTTATTTTTATGTTTCTGTAAGTTTTAATTTGATAAATTTTGATCATTATATTTATTATTCTGATTGGGTCTCGTCTATACCAGTTAACACTCATTGTTTTCAACAGAACACTATAAAGTATCAGTGGATCGGAGTTCTTTTCACGAAAATAAGAATAAGAAAGAAAGAAGATGAAGACTCTCTAAAGATTCTTTAGACAGATATATGAGGTAGAGACGTAATTAAGGTAAAAATACATTTCGAACACCTGATATAGGGTAATCTTTTGTTGCGTGCTTTAAAATTTTGACATCAACAAAATATTCACAATTATTATTAGAAATTTAATATGAGCATTTTAGCTGTTAAGTTTACGTACGTACATACACTAAAATTCTAAACAATTTATCACTTTCATATGTACTAAACAAAGAAAATCAATGGACTATCAAATGTTCATCAACTACTATCGTTGCATTTAATTAAATTGAATCCGGTCCTCTATTAAAAGGGATGTGCTAGTTTTCTAGCTATTTTATTTTTAACAATATACTCTAAGTAAATTATATTTATATGATGATATTATTGTTATTAGATTTCTATTCACACAATTCACATGTCTGTCCCCAATGGATAAGTGAATTAATCGTGAATGTCCACACATTTCATTGTCTATGTAATGAATTAATTGTGCTCCAAAAGAATGAAATTATTTATAAAAACACATGATCAAATTTGAAACTAATCCAAGCACTATTCTATAACGATATTGTTAACAAAACGCACGCATGATGTGTTCTTATTATCCCGCTTTAATATGAGACTTATTAGGCCAACTCAATGCTCATCAACAGATCTATCGTGGCAGCTTAATCACATGCATGGTCAAAATATCCATTCAAACGCCAATCATCATCCATTTCGTGACCTATTCATCATAACATCATATACTCATCCATCTATTAATATGATTAATCCAACTTGAATTTCTTATATAACAGTATAAAAATTGAGTAGGTGTATATACTTTATGGAAGGTGAAAATTGAGACAACAAAATAAAAATAAAAATTGCTTACGATATTTTAGGTCCAAAAATTTCCTTCAAAGTAATTTCATTTGATATTTCAAGAATTGATATTTGACATACAAATACTTTAGTCATAAAAGTACTTGTCGGTCCATATTTCAAACGATTAAATGTTTTGATCAATTTTTGCATGACAATGATTTTAATTTTCAAGAGAAATGTACAGTAAAGTGTTTAAGAAGTAGGTCTTGTGTTTAATTATATTTTTTCAAACGCATGTATATACTTTTACATTCAGATATCATATTTTAAAAAATAAAATAAATAAAAATATAATATTTTATAATATAAATTAAAATTTTTATTACAAATGCATAACTGATCAACACGGTTATTTTGCTTCTCTCACAAAATTGTTTATTTGATTTATTAGCAGACTTAAAAAGGACATGCAGATTACCTTTTATATTTTTGCGTTGTATAAAAGTTTGTAAAGGACAATCATGCACTTGAGCGTGAGAGATTATTATTTATATTCATAGGCGCTGGCCCACATCTTAGTGCCGCAGCCTCTTTCAAGGGCCACAACCTGAATATTGGCCTTTCGGCTCACTTTGGGTTACTTTTCCAAGTTTTGTGGCAGCAAAATTATTTTAAATTGTTAGTTATTACTTATTACTCCAATGAAGATTCCTTCACTTTCTAATTTGCAATTATGTATGATTAAATATAATTGATGAATATGTAATGCTAAAATTCTCATAAATTGGTTAAACCATTAGCAAATTTAATTAATGGGTCATTTATTTATATATTTTTTAATATTGGAACACATAACTTTTTCTTTTACAAATTAAAACTATGCTTAAGTTATGAATGACATGTTCTAAATTTTTTTTTTTACATGAACTTGCATTAATAAATAAAGTTCCAACTCGTTTATTTTTAATATTGTAACACATAGGTTTGTAATTGTTTTTAAATTTTATTTTTAGTGGAGTTGCATGTGGCAAATATTGCAGTTATCCATTTGTTTGTACGTCCGTGCACTATACGGAACACTAATTATAAAATGTTTGTATAAAAGCAATGAAATATTGAATTGTTTAAAAATTGTTTTGAATATTGATATTAAGTTTTTCTCCATTTATATGTTTATTATGAAATAGTTGTCATTTGAGAGGTCCGATATATAATTAAGAATAATAAAAATTTAACATAAAAATTATCAATAAATATTGCTTACAAAATCTCTCTCTCTCTCTCTCTCCTTGCTAATACCTGTTAAAATTAAAAAAATTGTATCAAATATATAACCAACAATTAATTGAAAAAAACTGTAATATATATTATTTTGAAGTTAAAAATTTATTAATTTTAATTATGTCATTATTTTATTTTTCTTATTACTTATAATAATATATATTATAAATATATTATTTTTTTGTTCTAATCTATTAATTTATATAAAATTTTTAATGAAATTATGAATCATAATATGAATTTTTAGAAAAACCGGTTTGGTGCAGTTATTATTTTTTTTTAACGAAACGATAAGGTGCAGTCATTGATAAATCAAATGATATTTTTGAACTCCTTGAATATATAATTTTTGGTATATATGGCTCGTTACCAAATAATAGAAGTGATTTTTTTTTTATTAATTTGAGATATCAATTCTATTGTAAAATTATGATACTTATCAAAATAAGATTTTTGCAATTTATTTCTAAATTTATTTTGTACTTATATTTCGTAATGTTCTCACACATAATTAGGTCCACATATGGTTGGATGCCCAACAAAGCAGAAGAACGCATGATTTGTTATTAAGGATAAAAATTGTTTTGCTTTAAAGATAAGTAGTTAAGTTTCATTTGATATTATAGAAAATTGCATTTACAACTTATAAAAAACTGCATCGGTTGCCAAATGAATAAGAAATGATTTTGGTTTGTTACTAATGTTGATAAATAAGATTCTATTGTAACATTGTGATAAATATCATAATAAAATTTCTATAAATAATTTTTAATTTTTATTTTATAATTATACTTGCAATTTTATCATACATATTCAAATAATATTTTTTTTAAAAAAAAAAACTATTTAAATTATACTTTTTTGAAGATATGTTGTATGTTTGGCTTCCAAAAGAATAAGAAATTCTAATAATTGTTAATTAATACGAAGAATCGAATTTTTATTGCAATAATTAGCACAAATTAATTTTCAAAATTTATACCACTTTATTTATATAGAACGTCGTTTTATTAACCGAATTGCACGATTTACAACATGTAGGTATAATTTGATTTTTATTTTTTATTTATAAATATTAAAGTATTTTTTACTATATTTCCTTTAATAGTAAGTCAATCAATTTAGTTACAAAGTTAAAGTTACTGTTTTAGAGTTTTCCATCAGCCTCTTTCAATATACTAGTGTTAAACTCATGCGATGTACGGAGGAATATGGTTCTG